TTCATAGGCTGGTAATCAGGAGTAAGAAACTTCATAGGCTGGTAATCAGGAGTAAGAAACTTCATAGGCTGGCAACCAGGAGAGTGCACACCACGGTAAGTCCACCTACAGTTTGGAGCAGTTAAACTGCTTAGCAGCATCCAAACCAATATCCAGGTCAGAGGCTAGGAATACTGCGGCAAGTAACTTAGCTCCTGACTCCCCAAAGCCTATCCACCATCTACAAGGCATAAGTCAGGAGTGTAATGGAATACTCCCCACTTGCCTGGATGGGTGCAGCTTCAACAACACTCAAGAAGCTTGACATCTTCCAGGACAATGGAGCTCCACATCCACTCCCTCCACTGCCAACACTTAATAGCAGCAGTGTGTACCATCTACAAGGCCAACGATCCTTAGATAACATCTCCCAAACACATGATCACTTCCATCTAGAAGGACAAGGGCAGTAGATACATGGGAACACTACCCCCTGCAAGTTCCCCTCTAAGCCATTCACCATCCTGACTTGGAAATATATTACTATTCCTTTGCTGTCACTGTCAAAATCCTGGAATACCCTCCCTAAAGGCATTGTGGGTCTACCCATAGCAGATGGACTGCAGCGGTTCAAGAAGGCAGCTCATCATCAAGGACAGTTAGGGACAGGCAATAAATGCTGGCCAGCCAGCGACACCCACATGCCACAAATAAATGGAAAAAAAAATAAAACCAGAACCAATCAAAATAAACATCTGGTTAAATGGTCCCCAGTTCTAATGGAGATTGATACCTGCATGGCGATATCAGCGATTGTGGAACCAGTCTTTACCAAATTTCACGCTGGACTCTAACCCTTAAGTTTGCATAAGACCTTGGCTAGACCGAGAACCTATATCAGGGAATTTTTACAAATTAAGGGTACAACTTCAGTTCTGGTCTCCTATGAGAAGCAACTGATTCAGTTACCACTGATTGTAGTAGAAGGCTCGGGCGCGAGCTTGATGGGGTGAAATTGGTTGATAAAGATTCAACTTCATTGGATCAACGTTTTCCGATTAGAAAATGGCTACCTGAGTGAAGTCCAAATGAAATACCCAGAAAGTTTTCAGGCAGGTCTAAGGACTATCAAAGGGACCAAGGCTACCTAACTGTTAACCAAAAAATGAATCCACAATTCTACAAGGCCCACTCGGTGCCGTTTGTATTACAGGCAAAAGTAGAGGCAGAAATCAGGAGGCTGGAAAGCGAAGGAATCATCAAACCAACACAGTTTGCAGAATGGGCAGCACCGGTCGTACTGATTGTGAAGCCTGATGGGTCAGTTCACCTCTGTGGGGATTTCAAACAAATGGTAAACCACTCTTCATAGTTGGATAAACATCCTATGCCTCATAGAGAGGACTTATATGCAAAACTGATGATGTGGCTGCCCTTCATGAAGACGGACAAGAGCCTTGCGTACCTGCAATTGCAATTTGATGAGGAGTCCCAGAAGTATGCTACAATTAATACCCATAAGGGTTTGTACCAATACATGAGACTGACTTTTGGAGTATCATCAGCCTGTGCTATTTTCCAGTGGATAATGGAAAACATTTACAAGCTCTACCCCATGATGAAGTGCTAATAACTAGGAAGATCAATAAAGAGCATTTAGACTTAGTGCTTAAATGTTTCTCCAAGGCGGTGTATGCCTTAGAAGGGAAAATGTGTGTTCCAGGCACCCCAAGTGACCTGCTTGGGTTATAGAGTCAACAAGACCAGGTTATACCCACTGGAGGGTAAGGTGAGGGCAATCAAAGGTGCCCCAGCTCTCAATTCTGTACCAGAGCTTAGGTCTTTCCTTGGGTTGGTAAATTATTACGGAAAATTTATACATAACCTGGCTTCCATCCTGGCGCCCTTACATCTGCTATTGAAAAGGGGTCAGCCGTGGAAACAAGATGTAGCCTTTGGGGAAGTGAAAAATTAGCTATTGTCATCTAAGGTTTTGGCACACTGTGATCCCAAGCGAGATGTGGTGCTGACATGTGATGCCTCTGCGTACAGTATCGGGTTAGTGTTGGCTCACTGATGGCCCAGCAGATAGGAATACCCAATAGTATATGCTTCCCGGACTTTGGCTGATGCCAACCAATGATAGCCCAGATAGAGAAGGAAGGTTTGGTGGAAAGTTCCACGAATATCTTTACGGATGTAAATTTGTAACAGTAACAGACCACAAACCCCTGCTAGGGCTACTTAAAGAGGGCAGGGCTGTGCTGCCTGTAGCTTCAGGATGAATTCAGCGGTGGGCTCTCATTCTGAGTGCATATGATGACAAGTTGAAACACAGTGCGGGAGGCCAAGTGGTAAATGTGAATGCATTGAGCCATTTCCCACTGGCAGATACACCACTGGTGGTATCGCCACTGCAGAGCCCATTCCGGTTTTAAACTTTCCGGATGCCCTTCCAGTCACTGCTGACACTATCAGACTGTGGACATAAAAAGATCCTGTCCTGGCAAAACTAAAACAACCGCTGATGATGGGGGAAACAAAAGCATCATCACAACCAGAACTGAAACCTTTCTGGATCCAGCGAGACCAGATTGCCATGGAGAACAGCATATTACTATGGGGAGCAAGAATGATTGGCCTGAGCCAGGGTCGCTGCCAGATACTGGCTGAACTCTACCTGGGTCATTCAGGGGTTTCCAGATGAAGATGTTGATGAGAAGTTACGCCTGGTGGCCAGGAGTGGATGCCGACGTACAAAGTTTGAGTCGGAGAGGCAGTCGTGAACAAGCACATGAAAGCTGCAACCTTTCAAACAGGCCAGCAGCAAAGCACACCCAACCCCTCAGAACATCTGGTAAGGCTGTCAGAACCCATAGGTTCTCCCCCTGATAATGAGATGGACATGACAGATGTCACAGCCTTGACACCATTACCGCCTGAAGAAGCAGAATTTCGGCCGAGACACTCCAGGTGCAAGATGCAGGTTACGGTCCTGCACACACCGCCAGTGTCTGAAGGGCAGAGTCGGAGGAACTCGACCTGGCACAAAAATGCCCCAGGAAAAGGAATGTGCCTACGTCCCTGGATTTGGAGGGGGAGGGATGTAGTGGACCTTATGGAAAATGAGTACCCTGATTGGGGCTGTTAACCTGGTCCAATCAGGGAGCCCTGGCTGACCAATATAAACAGGAGTGTCAGGGGTTCTGGTCACTGTAGGAGCTGGCCCTAAGCTAGCTGGGTCAGTATCATATAGTATGCCCTTGTAAATAAAGGGTGACTTGGTGACGGATATCAGCCTTCGTGGAGTTATTTCATTATCTATATATTGTACATAGTTCAATAAATGGTTCGGGTTAGCTTGTCCTGCACCACATCTGCCTGAGCATGTTCACAAGAGTATTCATGACCTTTTAGCTTGGAGATGAGATGTACCCCTGAACTATAGTTGAAACATAGTAAGGAACTTTCCCTAACCGATGATATTTCTCTTATGCTTTCCTCTCCCCATTTCAAGACCTGGAACTTCCTCCCTCCTGGCATTATGAGTGTACCCACACCAAACGAACTGCAGTGGTTCAAGAAGGCAGCTCACCACCACCTTCGCAAAGGCAGCTAGAGATGGGTAATTGTTGCTGGGCCAACCAGATATGTCCCATGGATGAATTTTTTTTAAAAAGGAAAAATATAATACTTTAGAAGTAATTGTGAATTTCCTCTTTTCTAAAAAGGTAGAATATCTGTCTGTGATGGCCTGCTGATCAAATCACAGATTTGCCCAATTTTGAAACATGAAATAAATGCATAGGAAAATGGGTAACTTTCAGTTTTTAGTTCGAAGAAATTTCCATGCCAAATTCTCATTGCAGATAATCTATACTATTCAGCTATTCGTCATTCTAATATTCTGGCATTACTGATCCTATAATCTGACCATTGTAGAAAATAAATTAAGCTCTTTTCCATGTGTTGCTGTATGGATAAGTACAGACTGAGGGACTGTATGAGTTCCACACTGGCTCATCTGAGGATAAAATCATGTGTACGAATTATGCTGTTTAGAATGTAGCTGATACATTTCCCTAGATTAGGACAATTTTGGAACAGAATACTTTAGAGTTTTTTTTAGCAGGATGAGTCAGAATTACAGAATTTTGTGCTGATTTGGTGAATGTTCCTCATTGTCTCCCTCTGTTTTCAACCCAAGCTCAATTTTGATCAGTTATTTCATTGATGAAATAGTGCTGATAGCACATCTCTCGCATAAGTGGTAACCACAAGGTCTCTCTCCATGTCCCCAATGGCCAGTACCCTCAGTCATTACGTCAGAGCTTCCTTCCACCTGCCACACAAACTGTTCAGAGGTGAAACCTCATGTTATTCTGGTAATTTTTTTTCTCCCTTTGAGCAGAGACTGACGAAGTTCGACAGCACAGCCTGAAGGCAGAAATGGGATCCGAGAGAGCTCTTGTCCTGGACAGACTTGCTAGCAATGTTGCCAAACGGAAAAGCTCAATGCCTCAAAAATTCATTGGTAAGAACAAGAATTTAAACACGTTATTTTAGTCATTGTAAGTACTCTGGCTTCTGACGCCCACCAGTTCCTGCAGATCGTGCTGAGGATTTTTACACTCCTGCGTTCGCATCGAGTTCTTATTTTCATAAGTGGCAGTGTCATTTTTTCTAGTATTGCTTGTATAAGTAATCACAAAATCTCTGGTAACCGAATGCTGCATCGTTAGCAGTTGCTGGACTGTTGGAGCTTTTTATACATTGAAGAATACTTGGAGTTTTAAAACTTGTTTGGTAATTATTCTTTCAGGAAAAAAGTGATCATTTAATCTGAATTTTAAAAAGTTACTCTCAAATAAATTACTGTGTTACACAGTAACCTCCAGAGCTATATTAATTTAAAATATACTGTTTGTAAAACTGCAGTCTAGTAGATATTTAATATTTCGGATTTAGTGAAGATATGAAAGATTTGATATTCAATTTACTGCTGCTTTGTTATTATTTGAGAATCTCAGAAGATTTCTCACACACAGAATGTAAAATTTGCTGCAAGATTAACCAGTTCACTTCCACCAACAAGATTCCATTTTTAAACTAGAAAAAATTCCAGTGAAATAAGACTGATCTTTCAATTAATGCAAATTAAAATGCAAATTAGAATGAAGAATGTTGTTCATAGTTAAAGAGCAAATCTGAAAAATGAGAGATGAACTGTTTTAAACATTCACCAATTCTTAGTGCAAAACACACATCTAACAGGTAACTGAGAACTAGTTCATCACTAATATTCGTGCTCGCTGTGCTCTCCACTTTAATATTTTCTCTTGCGCTGCATTTTGTCATATTTGAAATTCTCTCTGTACTGCAGAATTTTTAAAAAATGCTTTACAATTTGCATGACTGAACCTACTGACATGAAAATTGTATTTCAAGATTTTCTGCTGTTTAGAGCATTTGGAAGTTTAGTCAGTAAATTTCAACTCTGAGAATCAAATCAATATCTAGAGGCTTCAGGTTAGAGTTTCCAAAGCAAGGCTCACATTGAATACTTAGAAGAACGTGTAATACATTCCTTTGAATGTGTTTTTACAATTTAGCGCCAGTGTAAAGTAGCAGACTCAGGTACATAATAGCAGCAGACACTGTTTACATGTGGACTTTCACCTACTACATTGCTACATTTTGGTTTTCTCTGTTTATATTTTTAAACTGTTAAGTAACGAGAAAGGACCTGGTGCTGTGTGAGACATAGGGGATTCATTGCATGGCCTGGCATAATTAAACTGCAGGCATAATTTCAAAGTGTTGTGTCCAATCAGTTCAATCTTCTTTACAGCCAAATGTTGGACTGCAGTGGTGTAAGGGTTAACTCAACACACCAAATAAGATTACCCACGTCCAATCTGCCAAAGTGTAGTAATATAGTTTCATATTTGCAAAGTTATAAAATGTTAAACTTCACGACACTTCTGCCTGTGGTATTTTAACCCTTCTAATGTTTATAGATGCTGTCCATCTGAATAACACAGCCACTAAAGATTTCCACTTTGCAGGAAATACATTGCTTAAAAAAGAACTTTTTCCCTGAATGTTTTCCATTTTGTAAACTTTTTGTTCCCAGTCATTTGCTATGGAAAGATAATTTTGCAAAGACCTTGTCAAAATGATTCTGCAAAGCTGCATTGAAACTGTAACTGAAGTGTTAATGTTGATCAAAGTAACAGAGTTCTTTTCCTGTTCACAAGAGGCTTTTTCACACTGGTTATTCTGAACTCTGTTATCTGTTGCTTTTATAAGAGAGAAAGTAACACAAATTGAGCCAAGGTAATTTGAACGATTGCTTTCATCTGCTGGCAATCTCCTGACATTTATGTTACACGTAAATGTAAGAACATTTGTGATAGATATCTCCATGTTTTACTCATTTAAACCAAAGCCACCACATTATTTGGATTATGCATATTTTAGTTGGAAGAAGGAAGAAATGAGATCCTCAGCCACAGGCACAGCTTATTTCACATCAGATTGATTAGTCTTTAAGATTGAGTCATTTCTCTCAGTTTCAAATTAATTAAGCTAGCTTTGTTAATATAAATGTTTTACTTTAATGCTTCCATAAACTGAACGGTTCAGATAAAGTATATTATCACTGTACACAGCTTCTTCATTCTATACAGGACAGAGCAGGATGTCTTTGAGTTCCCATTTCCAACAAGAGACCCTTGTGTTTACTTTAACTCTTACTCCCATCAGGTTTCCTCCTTGAATTGGAACCTGCTGTATTGTGGCTTCCTTATACAAGTACTGACTAAGAGCAAGAACAGTACTTAAGGGATTAGAGTCACTCTGTGACTCCACTATGATCCTGATGGGATATGAAGCTCCATGACAACTCCAGGCTGGAATAACTCCACTCCATCTTAACTCAGAAAGGATATATTGGCCTTGGAAGGGGCACAAAGAAGATTCACCAAACGGATCTGAGGACAGATTTCCCAAACTTGGCTTAACATCATCTTAAATACCTCAGTTACATCACCCCTTTAATCTATTTTATACTCAAGTGAATGTCAGCCTACTCCATGTTTTCAGGAGCCTGTCATGTGACTTGTGAGTTTTTTTTATCTCGTCTGCATTACATCTGCCCATATCCAGATTGAGTGCCTGTAAACTGAAAGGAAACAGCTCTAAAGCTGTTAAAGTTCTAAGTGACAGTGTCAGAAATCACATGACACCAGGTTTCGTGTGATTTCTGACCTTGTCCACCCAAGTCCAAGACCGTCACCTCTACATCATGGCTAAGTGACAGTGCAAGTGCATAGCCCTAAACTGTTCATAGGTGTGCACAGGTTTGTTCCAAGCGATCAGAAGGACAACTGATATGGGCTGCTGTTTTGTGTAGTTTTCATAGTTTGAAAAGAGACCTTTGGCCTCAAAATTGATGGTGTAGTGGACAGCAAAGAAGCTTGCCTCAGGGTACAACAGGATCTTGATCAGATTGGCCAATGGGCCGAGGAGTGCAGATGGAGTTCAATTTGGATAAATGTGAGGCGCTGCATTTTGGAAAGATATATCAGGGCAGGACTTATACACCTAATGGTAGGGTTCTGGGGAGTGTTGCTGAGCAAAGAGACCTTGGAGTGCGGGGCCATAGTTCCTTGAAAGTGAAGTCCCAGGTAGACATGATAATGCAAAAGGTCTTTATTGGTCAGTGCATTGAGTAGAGGAGTTGGGAGGTCATGTTGTAGCTCTACAGGATATTGGTTAGGCCACTTTTGGAATACTGCGTGCAATTCTGGTCTCCCTGCTATAGGAAGGCTATTGTGAAACATGAAAGGGTTCAGAGAAGATTTTCAAGGATGTTACTGGGGTTGGAGGGTTTGAACTATAGGGATAGATTGAATAATCTGGGGCCATTTTCCCTGGGACATTGGAGAATGAGGGGTGACCTCATAGATGTTTATAAAATCATGAGGTGTATGGATAGGGCAAATAGCCAAGGTCTTTTGCCCAGAGTGGAGGAGTTCAAAACTAGAAGGCATAGGTTTAATGTGAGAGGGGAAAGGTATAAGAGGGACCTAAGGGGCAACTTTTTGATGCAGAGGGTGGTGTGTGTATGAAATGAGCTGCCAGAGGAAATGGTGGAGGCTGGTACAATTACAACATTTAAAAGGTATCTGGAGAGGTTTATGAATAGGAAGAGTTTAGAGGGATATGGACCAAATGCTGGCAAATGGGACTAGATTAATTTAGAATATGTAGTCAGCATGAATGAGTTGGACTGAAGGATCTGTTTCCATCCAATATAACTCTATGACTCTATGCCTCTAAACCTCTCTATATGTATTCTAATCCCATTTTCCAACACATGGCCATAACATTGTATGCTATGGCATTTCAAGTGTTCATCTAAGAAGTTCTTAAATGTCTTCAGAGCTTAAGCCCCTCTCATGCTAGCAGGCAGTGAGTTCCAGATACCCACAACATCCAAGTGAAAACATCTTTCCTGAAATCTTGTCTAAACCACCTGTTCCTCACCTTAAAACTGTGTCCCTGGTTATTGACCCCTCTAGTAAGAGAAAACTTTCTTCCTATCTACCTTGCCTTTGCCTGTCTGAATCTTGTACACCTTCAACAGATCTCCTCCACCTTAGTCTCCTCTGCTGTAAGGAAAACAACCCCAACCTGTCTAGTCCCTTTTTATAGCTTAATCACTGCATCCCAGGCAACATTCTGTGGTGCAGTCACATCCTTCCTAAAGTGAGGTGGCCAGAACTGCACACAGTACTCCAGCTGTAGCCCAGCTAACATTATATACAACTGCATCGTTATTGTATTCAATGCCTTGACTAATAAAGGGCAAATATCCATATGTCTTCCTAACCACCTTATTTACATGCCCTGCTATCTTCAAGGATCTATGAACATTCATGGCGTCCTACCATTCAGCATGTACTCTCTTGACTTATTAGTCCTCCCAAAATGCATGTCCTCACGCTTTTCAGCATTAGATTCCATTTGCTATAGTTCAGCCCAATCTGACCAGCTCATCTGTATGGTCATTTAGTCTAAGGTTTTTCTTCTCACTAATTACCACGCCACCAATTTTCATGTCATCTGCAAACTTATTGATCATACTTCCTACAGCCATCTCTTGGTCATTAATGTACACAACAAATGGCATGGCACCCTGCACCAGACTCTGTAGTACGCCACTGGATGCAGGCTTCCAGTCACAAAAGCCTTTGACCATCACCTTCTACTTCCTGCCACTGGATCAGTTTTCGATCCAATCTGCCCTGGGCTCTTAGCCTCTTAATTAAGCAAGCTGTCAAAAACCTCACTGAAGTCGAAGTAGACTACATCAACTGCACTACCTTCATCTACACTCTAATCACTTCCTCAAAAAATTCAGTCAAATTAGTTAAATATGATCTCCCCCATGATGTCTAACTATCCTTGATTAAGCCTTGCCTCTCCTTGAATGATCTAATCTATGCTGTACTTGACCTGAAAATG